CTGATGGTGGATTCAAACACTCTTTTACCGATGATGGTGTTTCCTACAGCACTTTTTCCAGCTCCAGTTTTTCCCAGCAGAACCAACCTGATTTGGTTTTTCCTCCCTGGAAGCTGAACCTCATCTGGATCTTCATCCATTGAACTTTCTCCTGAAACTACATCACAACAGTGTGATATTAACTGCTCTTCTCTTTTAAGATCAGTTTTATATTTACATTTAAGGCACTTGCAGATGCTCTTAACTAATTACAGCACAACAAATATCCGTGCTTTACATTTAATGAACAGGTGAGCACATTATGTATTACTGCAGTAATTTACAACAATGAAACAACTTACAATTTATTACAATGTCCTTGCTGCCACTCCTCTTCATTTGTTCCATGATAAATTTCCCATCGTTTTCCTCCATCATTCCTTCAATCTTCTGCAGTAGTTCTTGTACCTGATCATCTGATTTACTCCTGTTATTGAAACAGTGAAACTTTCCTCCACATTCAGTCACCAGTCGCTGGATATCCTCATGGTTTTGTAGATGTTCATCAATGGTCTGTGGTTCATCCAGTGCATCCAGTTCATCTCCACGTGTGAACAGGATCATGATGTATTTATGAAATTCAGGACCACATAAACACTTAATAAAATCCAAGATTTCTTCCTCATTTTCCAGTGGTTTCTCTAGAGGAACGGTGAGCAGAACTGCACTGAGACCTGCTGAACATTGAGAGACCAGCTGCTCTTTCATCTCCTCCAGCTGCTCTTTATTTAGATCTGGATCCAGCAGATCTGGACAATCAATCACAGAAACCTGCTTCTCTCCAACCTGTGTTGCTGCGTCACAAACTTCAGCGTCCTGCATTTTAAGTTTAAACTTTCTTTCTCTCAGTATCGTGTTTCCAGACGAGCTTTTCCCAGAACCCTTTCTGCCCATCAGAAGAATCCTGATCACCGGTCTGGAGCTGATCGCTGACATCTCTGTAAGAAACAGAAAATATGGAGTAAGATTGTGTAGAACAGAAAAATACTCACAGTTATCAACTGCAGTAAAAACATTTTTGGCGAAATCCACAGTGCGCTATCCAAATAATACTGCACGTCATTCTTCATGATTTGTGAAGTCTTTCACAGTACATTTGTGGTCCGTTCCCTGAGTCCATAGCTTCACTGTTGTGACCAAAAAAAATAAAAATAAAAATTGCCTTCTTGTCTTATATCTTATATACAGTAGTATATATATATATATATATGTGGTCTAGTACTACCTCAGTACAGTACAGTGTATTTATATAAATTATAATTAACCCAGCTGCATTAAAATAATGTGTTCTCTTATCATTTAGTGGACAAAATCCCCCGAACTTCGCCCCTATCGAGAGCTGTATGTACGATATGTGCGCTCATCAATGCAACTCCAGCCGCTTCATGTCATCGACCCACTCGTTAAATTATGACAGTTACTGCAGAAAGATGGTCATTGTGACAGTGTAAAGCGACGAAATGATATCGTCATGTGCTTTTAAAACCATTTCATATGTTTCACGTTATAATATCGACTGGGAAAATATGTTAATTTGACTAGAAACAGTTTGATCAGGCGAGACTTCCCCATTTAGGAAAAGGGTGAAAAGGTGAATTTCCCAAATAATAATTACATTTCCAGAACTAAACGTCATATTCGCGTATTAATCACTATTTAGTCGGTCAAACGGGTTTGCAAAAATGCCTGACATTGTGTTTAGGTTAGGTCTGTATTGCCATTGCATAGCTATATATAACGAAATTGTTGAAGCAATCCGATTTGCGGCATTAAAAAGAAAAGAAAAATATTTTTACATTTTACATTAAAATACATTTGCGGACTCCGTTTGATTTCATTCACTGAAAAAGGCTACTTTACAAAACAGTAAATAAATACGTGGGGTTACGTGGATATAGCTACTACAATCCACCGTATGAAACAAAATTGGCAAATGCTTGTTATCGTGTGTCAGAGATGAAGCAGCGTATGTGCAACTTTATGCAAACGTTAACTGCACTTCAACTAACTGCTTTAAGCAAAAAAATTCTGACCCATCTGAAGTTTAGGGTTTAAACTAAACTCTGCCGTATGCAGGCACTCTTACCAGGCGGTGGTTCAGGCCCCGTCGCCATCTTTACTGTATTTGACAGATCAGTCAATGAAAATGCTTCCTAAAAAAAAAAACAAATGCGATTCACATCAGGAAAGCAATCTTAATATATATTTGCTATGGTTTATAATGTCAACATATTCGCATAAAATCCATCGTCGCAAGAATATAAACTCACCAGGATCCGAGCTGCTGTTGAGACGTTCTTTTTATCTTTAGTTTCACTTTTGTTACGCTCCACCCTGTGACGATGCTGTTTTCCCGTGGCTGATTCCTACTGCGGTCAAGCCAGCCACACTTTTTTTGTCGTGCGCGTGTAATTGTGCACTTACGGTACGGGTGCTGAGAGCAGTCAAAATGCATAGAAGCTGTCATACCGATGTTTCCTTTATAATTTGCTTATTTTAACTTTTATTTTTAGTTTGTAAATACATTATATTTGTACATAAACGTTTGTATTGTACATTAATTATTATAAATAGAGGTTTGCTCGTTCTTTTAATTGATTCCTGTTCACAGTGTCCCTGACTATTACTGTAATAATTCTCAAATATTTTTACTCTATAGTTTTTGAGAAAATTAAAGGCAAAATCACTTCGAAAAACGAAATCTTTCCTTTACAGGTTTGCTCGTTCTTTTGATTGATTACTGTTTACAGTCACCCTGACTATTGCTGTATTAATTTTAATTTTTTCGACTCTATGGTTTTGAAGAAAATTAATGGCAAAATCACTTCGAAAAACGAAGTGCATTCTACCAGTTCCACCATTACCCATTTTCAAATTATTAATTTTCATGTAATTTTATTTTACAGTTTCTGGGAAACGCAAACTCACTCCAAAAATGTTTTTATAGAGTGTATTGTTGCACTCATGTCCCACTTTCTAACATAAAGTTTCCGTTTTTGAAGGAATTATTGCGCAAACGTACCATGCTTATTACCATATCAAACTGACGCTTATTTTATATATAGTATTGGACAAAATTACTGGGAAATACTCTCCTGACGTCCTACTGTCATGTTACACTCAGGCAAGAAGGAGCGAAGGAGAATATTTTCAAACATGGAATTTAATTTGAACACACGGGGGAACTTCAGAGACACAGCAACACGACGTTTAACAGCAGACAAAAAAACACTGAATGGAACTCACTATAAATACACAGACACCAATGGGACACACCTGGGAGCAAATGAACTAATTAAACAAACACAGCTGGAAACAAATTCATACAACGAGGACAGGAACAGGAAGGACCAAATAAGGGCAAACAGGAACTCAACGGGAACACACACACACGTGACAAATACACTCAACCTCTTCTTACATTTTAATTGTTAGTGTCACATTTAATTAATTTAAAATCTTAATTTTAACCTTAGGAACTGATTATGTTCCTCACCCCTTTGAGCAGTCCTTATTTTTGTCCATGGTTACTAATTTCTAACCTTTAGTTAAATTTCTTATGTCTTTGCTTTTATAGCCCTGAGGTTGTTGTATTTGTTTATGGTGATTATGCCTGCAAAGCTATTATTTGTTTTGCTGTGTTTGTTTACCGTAATCATCAGTCTATTGAATAAGTCTGCTTAGCTGCAATTTCTTGTTTCTCCTTACCTGTAACTGATCAATTACAATTGTATTGAGATGAATTTTAAAATTATCTAAATTAAAATCCAGATACAACAAGACACTGATCAGCTAAGGACAGTTGACAACACAAAGAAAAAATAATATAGTATCAGTGCCGTTGTTTGAAAATGAGCACACTTTTATTTTAATTTTACTTACCTTTATTTTATCGTATTTTATGTACTTTTATAAATATTATACATTTTATAGAAATACATGCAATTTATATATATTATAAATTTATTTATTTATTTATTTTGCCTTTCTTATTTCAGAAAACAACTTT